TTTTTTTTTTTTTTTTTTTTTTTTATTGTTTATTTTGAGAGACAGAGCACCAGTGGGGGAGAGGCAGAGAGAGAGAGGGAGAGAGAGGAAGAGAGAGAGAGAATCCAAGCAGGCTCCATGCTCTCAGCACACAGCCCAATGTGGGGCTCAATCTCATGAACCATGAGATCATGACCTGAATGGAAATCCAGAGCCAAAAACTTAACCGACTGAGCCACCCAGGCGTCCTAGAGATTGTTTTTTTAAATTAATTTTACTTTATAGTTATGAAATACATTTACACAATATTTAGTTTAAATTAATAAAATGAGTTGTATTTAAAAAGTCTTAGTTTCGGGGTGCCTGGGTGGCTCAGTTGGTTAAGCGTCCGACTTCAACTCAGGTCACGATCTCACGGTCCATGAGTTCGAGCCCCGCGTTGGGCTCTGTGCTGACAGCTCAGAGCCTGGAGCCTGCTTTGGATTCTGTGTCTCCCTCTCTCTCTGACCCTCCCCCATTCATGCTCTGTCTCTCTCTGTCTCAAAAATAAATAAACATTAAAAAAATTAAAAATAAATAAATAAATAAAAAGTATTAGTTTCTAAACTTGTTTCCTCTATCACCCTGTTCTCTCCCTCTCCATGTAGTTAACCATTTTTTAAAATTTATCCTTCCCTTAAAAAATAAATATGTATTATATATATCTAGCTTCACAATAATATGTATACTGACACATATATGTATATATGCATGTGTGTGTGTGTATACAGATAAGATTTCTAGGTTCATCTATTAGGTAAGTAGTAACATATATACACATATATTGATCTTCTAAAAGTGTCAATAGAGTCATGATATAGTCCTTGGTCTAGAACTTTTCAATAAATTTCCATTGTTCTTAGGATTAAAAAAAATCTTGTAATGGTCTTTGTGGCCTGGCCTCTGTCTACTTGTCTATTTTATTTATTTATTTATTTATTTATTTATTTATTTATTTATTTATTTATTTTGAGAGAGAGAGTGAGTGAGCAAGCTGGGGAGGGGCAGAGAGAGGGAGAGAGAGTCCTAAGCAGGCTCCACACTGCCAAATCAGAACCTGATACAGGGCTTGAACCCAGGAACCGTGAGATCATGATCTGAACCAAAATCAAGAGACCAATGCTCAACTGACTAAGCCACCCAGGCGGCCCTTGACTATTTCATTTTAAACCAAGCAAATCTCTTTTACCCTGTAAACTGTAGCCACTTAATACTTCTTTCAATTCCTTGAAAATTCTCTGTTCCTTTCTACATTAGTATGTTTTCACATGCTGTTCCCTTTGCTTAGAAGGCTTTCTCCTCTCTCATTCAAGTTGGATAATTTCTACTTATTTTTCAGTTTTAAACTTAAAAGTCACTTTCTCAGAGGAACTTTTGATGCCTCATCAGATTAGGTTAGGTATTCATTGCTATAAATTTTCTTAATATTTCATACTTTCTCACAGTATTTATCATAATTATAATTTAAATGTCTTAATGGAAAATTTCAAACTTAGCAAAATGTTGAGAGAATAGTATAATAAATCCCTGCATTTCTTTTTTTTTAATGTTTATTTTTGAGAGAGAGAGCATGAATAGTGAGGGGCAGAGAGAGAGGGAGACAGAAAAATCCAAAGCAGGCTCCACGCCGTCAGCACAAAGCCGCACATGGGGCTTGAACTCACGAATCGTGAGATCATGACCTGAGCTGAAGTTGGATGCTCAATCAACTGAGCCACCCAGGCTTCCCTAAATCCCTGCATTTCTATCACCCAATTTTAACAAAGAACTCAATTTTAGTCTTATTTGAACTATATACTGTCTCTCCTTTGATTATTTTGATGGAAATCTTAGACATCATATAATTTGATTACTAGTATTTTGGTATTATAATTATTATTTGATAATTAATTGTGAACTCTATTGTTCACTGACTATTTCTACTGCAGAACGTAAATTCCCTGAGCTCAGGGATTTGGCTGTTTATTCTAGCTCAGTGCTGTGAATGAATGGAATGTTACAGATTACTGGAGAAAACAGGAATATGCATTTAGCATACATAGCACTCAGCACAGCATTTGTCATGTTCTCCCATAGAATGGTATGGTCTAGAGTTAAAAACAATTAAAGGGATCCATTTCTTGTTGATTGATTGCAGCCAAATGGATTAATGCGATTGTAGTTTTTAGTGGTGTGTCAGAGGATTCTCCCCATGGTCTACTCTTGTTCTGTATATATATATCTTTAAAATCAGTGACTTGGTTAGTAGAGAGGACAATTTTCTCAAATATGGGAGGCATTTTTCAATATTGGAAGATTGGAAGACAAAATAGGAACTCAGAGATGATTTTGACAGCTTGAGGTGACAGAAACCAAGCAAGATAAATTTAATAATAACTTAAAAGTCTTATACTTGGAGCCAAAAGACACAATTGCAGGAGCTTATAATGGGGGGACACGTGGCCTAGCAGCAGCATGTATTTAAAATTACATGGTGTCCATAATGTAGTCACTTCAGTGAGAAGATAATTCAAACTGGATTTTCAGCATTATAAGGGTAGTGTGACAATTCCAGCCTTCCTACTTCCGCTGGGTGCTGTGCTGACATTGCCTGGGACCTTGTAAAGTGGCTAGGTCCCCATCTGGCTCAGCAAATCAATGCTGTTGTTACTCTTGCTTTATTTTTTAACCGCCGCGCCCCCCCCCCCCCCACAGGACAATCAAATGATGAGTTGAAGGCCCATAAAAATTAGATCCCATTTGTTGAGTACAGTGCTAAATGCTGTATATGCATTCTGCATGATTATGAAAATGAAAGGAAATGAAGGGCTTTAATATTTTATTTATTTTATTATTTATTTATTTAATTTATTTATTCTTTTGAGAGAGAGTGTGTGAGCAGGGGAGAGGGGTAAAGGAAGAGAGAGAGAGAGAGAGAGAGAGAGAGAGAATTTTAAGCAGACTCCAAGCTCAATGCAGAGCCCAATGTGGGGCTTGATCTCATGGCTGCGAGATCATGACCTGAGCTGAAATCAGAATCAGAACATACAACATGTATTTATATATGCTTGCAAATGCATAGGATATTTCTGGATAGATATATAGCAAACTGATAACACTTGTAGCTTCTGAGAAAGGGAACTGTAGGTGTAGTGATCAGGGATGGGAGGACAAACTACCTTTTGCTGTATATAATATACTATTTTGTATTTTTGGATTCTTTTTACTGTGTGCATTACTTTAGAAGAAATGAATTAATTTTGAAAAAAAATTTTAAACAAAATAAGTCCTATTAGATATTACACCTCCCATGATTAATGTTTGGTTTCTGTAGCATTGGACTTTGCAAATTTAACTTGTGACTTTTTTCCCCACAATGATCGAGAGGATAGTAATTACAATATAGTAAATGGATATGGATGAAAAGGAAAGATGATTACATTTTGAGCATACTGGGTTTGGGATGTCAGTAGGACACTCAGATGGGAATGTCCACCAGGCAGTTGGAAATGTGGACTGGTGCAAGTCAGGACTGAAGATTGGTAGAAAAGATTAGTAAAATTCCCAAAGGAGAGAGGGTAGAGAGAAGTAAGCAGTGGGCATAACCAAAGCGAGTCCTTACATTTGGGGTCAGAAGGAGAAAGAGAACCAGAGAATGAGAGGTGGATGTGAGAGTGAACAACATTGTAAAACATCAAGGGAGAAGGTCATATGAAGCAATAGGAGTTGTTGATAGTGGCTTGCTGCAGAAAGGCTGAGGGGGATGGAAAGTGAGAAAAGGCTGTTAGACATGCAGGCTGCGAGAAAGAAACTCAATAGTGAAGAGAAGGAGGGAGGAACAGGAATGTAGTTCAAGGAGTAGCCTGGTGAGTGGAGGTGGGGCATATGTGATGTATTTTAAGATGAGAAGCACCTCACAACATTTATTTCATTGGCAGGAAGAAGTCACCTAAGAAAGAATGAATATGTAATGGAATGTCATCAGGTTTGGGGGAATTATTGATGGAGTAAGGCCCTGGAGAATGGATCAGAATAAGGGCCACAAAGGGAAACAGAGAAGGGTCACCTCTTTTTTTTTTTTTTATACCAATCACTTTTATCTATTTTAAGACATAAGATACTATTTAGACTCATAGATGGTATTAAATTATAACCCTGTGTAAATATCTATAGGATATTTTATTTTTCAAAGATAAGTTCTAAAAATCATAAAACTGGACAGATTAATAATATAACACATATCAAACAGACTTAAATGTAGGTCTTGGCTTTCATTCACTCAGTCCTACTGTTAGAGGTGTTACAAAGATACATACTTAGAACACCACCCTGCTAGTCTCTCTTGAGAAAGCTCTATTCAAGTAGATAAGAAGTACCTCAATAATTGTAGACATAACTGTTATCCAAAGGATCTTTCACTGATTTTAGCAAAGAGAAACAGTCCAAATTTTATTTTTTATGACTACTGACATGATTTAACTATATCACTTTAGCACATAGTCTTACTATTTCTCCCGCTATGGCAAGTTCTAGTTTTCTCAAGTCTTTTGCCTCAATTTTTCTGGAAATAAAGCTTAAATATCGTATATTTTAAACCTTCAAACTAAAATGTTATCTTTATTTATTCATGTATTAGGTTGATATATTTGCATATATCCTTTCCAATTTCAAGCTAAACAAAGATGTGCATTTAGAGCTATATTAATGTATCATAGGAAAGGACAACCCAAGTTAATATCAAAAGAAATTGTGACCCCCATTGTAATGTTTGATAGAAAACTCATAGATTTTTTTAAAAAGTTTATTTTTGAGAGGGGTTAGGGGCAGAAAGAGAGGGGGACAGAGAATCTGAAGTGGGCTCTGTGCTGACAGCAGCAAGTCCAATATGGGGCTCAAACTCATGAACTGTGAGATCATGACCCAAGCCAAAGTTGGATACTCAACCTACTGAGCCACTCAGGCACCCAAGAAAACATTGATTTTGAACCATTATTTTATTTTATTCAAATAGTGGTCTGGTCACACCCGGTTCAAGAACACTCAAATAATAAATCATGTATAATCAGATGTTCATGATTGGGCTTCAAACATTATAGCCAATGATGCCAAGAATGCCTATGATCTTGCCAACATAAAACCACATCCATACCTCAGAGGCCACCAAACCAGTCAGCACAGCTTCCTTAACTGTGAACTGTTTGAAGCTGCCAGTTTGAGCACTAGTGACTATTTTTTACAGGTCTAAATATTCATAGGATCTCAGTAGAAATTGGAGGAACCAGCGTAACCCTAGTCCAGTGCCAAAATATGGCCAGTGTAGGCTTCAAGAGAGTCACAGCAGCTTTTCCCAGGGATGGAGGCTTCTCCATGAGGTAATGGACAAATTGGATCATGGTTCCAGGATGGCAAATTTGTCACCTGGAACCGGAGGGTTACTTCTCTCTGTGTGACTATAGTGAAGGAAGGGAGGATGGGGAAGAGACAAAGAAGTGATGTTAATGAGGAATCACCTCTTCATTTAATAAAAGAATGCGATCATCTGTAGGGGATAAGACAATGGAATGGAAGGGGTTTTACATTTATAGAACAGTCTTGTAAGTTTTTATAATTAGAATAGATACAGGAGGGTTCTTCTTAAATTAGCAAAGCAGGTGGTGTGCAGCAGCATGATGTAATGGAAAGAACATTAATTTTGTGGCCAGAAAGACCTGAGTTTGAGTCCTGGCTTTATTCCTTCTTAACATGTTACCAAACTTTTCTTTCTCAGTTTCTTCATAGTAAAATGGGGACAAGAGTACTTACTTTGTCAGGTGGTTATACACGTTCAATGATGGGACGTGTAAGTTGATTTCAGTTCCAACATACATTTATTGATCTTTTATTATATGCCAATATTCCATTATATCTTTATTCTCAAGGAGTTTGATGTCTAGGAAGGAATTATCTTCTCCTTCGTTCTCTTTTGGGACAATAAACTGCCCCCCAAACACCCAACTTTTGCAGAATTGTAAGAGGACTTGCTGACTACTTTCCTGTCTGTGTGCTTTTAGATACTAGATCAGATCTCATGTGCAAATGTTATTCCGGTCTGCCTGGATTTAGCCACTAATGCTGGGCGAGCCACTTCTCCAAGGCAGTGTGCCACGATTGTGACCTCTTGACCACTGGCCAGTAGGCTTGGCAGAGGGAACCCTTCGCAGCTGCCAGTCATGAGGCATGAGTGGCCTTGGACTCCTGACTCCAACAGTGATTCAGCCTGTCTCATCCTTATCTCTGTGATAAACTTGATGTGTGTTTATTTTCAGTCTTCTTTTTGTTATTATTGTTTTAGCAGCTAAACATAGGGTTGTTTAGCTTTCAAATAGTCTCTCAGAGGGAAATGGTCCAAGACCGACGACCTGAGAGCCACTGACCACAATCATGAACTGTAATGACATTCATCTGTTTATTACCTCCATTACTTTTAGGGAGAATAAGTAAAGACATGCATCCTTGATTGGGGAGATTGGAATTAATTATAATGACTGGACTTGGAGTGTGAGTCTAGAGAAATAGTAAATTAAATTCTAACAGAAATGCTTTGGCAGAAAGATTATAAATTAAAGCTTTAATGTGTGTATTCTAGTTGCTTAAGTGATTGTAACATCATCTAAGCATTTAACGGCAGTGAAATTGTTCCAATGTCATCTACGATTTGTGATGAAGATCAGCACATCCAGATCAGAACTGGGTTAATTGAAGCTCATCACCAAGGAAAGGACAAAACATTCTGAACAATACCTGAATTGTGTAATAGACCTCATTCCCTTCTTCAGTCTTTTTTCTTTTTTTTAATTTATTTTTCTTTTTTTATTAAAAAATTTTTTTTAATATTTATTTATTTTTGAGACAGAGAGAGACAGAGCATGAATGGGGGAGGGTCAGAGAGAGAGGGAGACACAGAATCGGAAGCAGGCTCCAGGCTCCAAGCTGTCAGCACAGAGCCCGACGTGGGGCTCGAACTCATGGACCGTGAGATCATGACCTGAGCCGAAGTCGGACGCTCAACCGACTGAGCCACCCAGGAGCCCCTTCAGTCTTTTTTCAATGCAGCAGAATATTTAGAAGGACTGACAGGTATCATTAGGTTGGCTCCATTTTTAGGACCCCATAAATATGAACCTTTCAAAGTTGGTGATTGACAGTTTACAGATTTATCTATTTCATACATGTGACCTCTCAGTTTTCCAGGCAGGCCTGTCTGTTTTCTGCAGGACTGATCTACTTGTTCTCGTTGTCGGCCTTGCATGAGAATTATCACAGTGTCACAGGCATCCATAGAATGTTGCAGCTGACCTCAGTTAGGCCTTTGAGAAAAGATGGAAAACAAAAACAAAACAAAAACTGACAAGTGCCAAGGTACCTTCAGTGATTAACAATTTTCTTTAAACACTTTGTGATTCTGTTAATATAGAAGCAGAACGGAGAATGGCTTGCTTTGAGTGAGATAAGGCATGAAAGAAAGGCACTCGCTGAGCACAGGACCAGTGCTTAATAAAATGCAAACTCTTAATACCATTCTCTTTACTATTTGGAATGAATGTTGCCTAATCCCGTGCCTTCTCCCACTTTGGTCCTCACAAGCATCTTCTCTTTTCCTCTGAACTCCAGTGGTGTGAAGGTAAACAACATTTATTTTCTTCCTAAGGACATGCTGCCCTGATGTTGAAGGTGATAGGACAGTCAGTTACCCTGGTAGCCCTACTCTAGATTCCAGGTAATTTTGCTGGGTCAGCACAGCCTGCAAACTGGCAGCTCCCTGGAAGATTGAGGTCATGTTCTCCATTGGCTGACACGGGGGAATTGCTGTGTATAGCCAACAGTCTTCCCTGTCAGTAAGGAGTGAAGAGCAGCCCTGGACCCCACTTCACGGCATTCCTTTAAATGATACACCCATAAACCAGCACTCAAATGCTGTACTAACAGGGGAACCATGTTTTGGAGAGTCAAAGGCATTCTGTCATAGAATCATTATTCAGGCCAAGCTAGAATTGCTATATATATGGTTCTGTTCAACTCACTTTATAGACAGAAGAGGAGAATTTGGAACGTCTATAGCTTCTGAAGCAACTTTTATTTCAATGCAGATGGCTCCTTGTCCTAAATAATATCCTTTATATTCTATGCTTCAGACTTGACATTTGTAACTTTTTAATTTTATTTTTATTATTTATTTATTTATTCAAAAAATTTTTAATGTTTATTTACTTTTGAGAGAGAGAGAGAAACAGAGCACAAGCAGGGGAGAGGCAGAGAGAGAGGGAGACATAGAATCTGGAGCAGGTTCCAGGCTCTGAGCTGTCAGCACAGAGCCTGACGTGGGGCTTGAACTCACTGCAAGATCATGACCTGAGCTGAAGTCGGATGCTTAACCGACTGAGCCACCCAGGTGACCCAGGGATGCCATAGTCTTAAATGTCTTTATTAAAGAGTCTTCTAATCTAGCTATGTGACCTTAGATAAAGACTTTGTTTTTCTCATCTGAAACATATGATAAGGCTTACTGAAATGTTTAAATGAGCACATAGATCATGAAACAGAGACTATTGTTTTTATTTAAAAATTTTTATTAATATTTTTTTTGCGTGTTTATTTATTTTTGAGAGATAGAGAGACAGAGTGTGAGCAGGGGAGGGAGACACAGAATCCGAAGCAGGCTCCAGGCTCTGAGCTGTCAGCACAGAGCCCAATTCAGGGCTTGAACTCATGAACTGTGAGATCAGGACCTAAGCCGAAATCAGGCCCTTAACTGACAGAGTCACCCAGGTACCCTCTATTTAAAACTTTTCAAATGAGGAAACTGAACCATGAGGGAGGTGAAACACCTTGTTCAAGCATAGCCAGGGCTGAGCTCCCCAGTGGTCCATCCCCATCCATGCTTTTAATTGTGACTCTCTCCCTATTGCCTCCTGGAAGTGGGGACCTGTGGTCTGGGGAGACGGTAGGACCTCAGAGGACAATGGCTTCATACATCTGCAAGATTGGATCCTGGGTACTAAGGACCCTGGAATCTTTTTTTTTTTTTTAACGGCTTATTTTTTAAATTACTTTTAAAAATATAATTTATTGACAAATTGGTTTCTGTACAACACCCAGTGCTCATCCCAAGTGCCCTCCTCAGTGCCCATCACCCACTTTCCCCTCTCCCCCAACCCCATCAACACTCAGTTTGTTCTCAGTATTGAAGAATCTCTTATGGTTTGCCTCCCTCCCTCTCTGTACCTTTTTTTTTTCTGCCTTCCCCTCCCCCATGGTCTCCTGTTAAATATCTCAAGATCCACATTGGGTGAAAACATATGGTATCTGTCTTTCTCTGACTGACTTATTTCACTTATTTCACCTTCCAGTTCCATCCACATTGCTGCAAATGGCCAGGTTTCATTCTTTCTCATTGCCAAGTAGCATTCCATTGTATATATAAACCACAGCTTCTTCATCCATTCGTAAGGACCCCAGAATATAGTGTCCCAAGACTAGCATGCAAGCTGTTCATCTTTGAGCAGCTGGACCTGGAGCTATAAGCAAATGACCACAATGGACTGAAGGTGAGGCCTGTTCATGTTTTCTTGGCATCTCATAGGTTTCTATGATCTTTGGGTGACCCAAGAAAAAGAGTCTAGGATCGATGGAGATTGCATTTTCTAGCACATGGGTTCTCATTGAAATTGAGTTAAAGAAAATAAGGAAATCGGTGTTTGCTTTGTACTTTAGTTTGTCACTGTAGCATCATTTCTACTACACATAGAAAAAGAGCCTGAAAGGCATACACAATAGGTTTTTTTGGTTGTTGTTTTCTCTCTTATTTTTTTCTTTTCTTTCTAAAAAAATTTTTTTTGAATGTTTACTTATTTTTGAAAGAGAGAGAGAGACAGACAGAGCTTGAGCAGGGGAGGGGCAGAGAGAGAGTGGGAGACACAGAATCCGAAGCAACCAGGTGCCCCTCTCTTAGCTTTTTCCTTTGGAGAGGTTTGGAGTTGGATCGGAGGAGCTCATACATTTTAACTTCATACACTTACTCATCTTTTTGGCCTGATAATAGTGGGTTGTTATGGACTAAATTGTATCTCACCATCTCCCCCCCCCCCATATGTTGAAGCCTCAACCCCTGGTAATCTCAGAATGTGACTGTTGGAGACAAGGCCTTTAAAGAGGTAATTAAGTTAAATGGGGTCCTTTGGGCAGACCCTAATCCCATATCCTTTAAGAATCGGAGATAAGAAAAAATAAAAGAAGCGATAAGGACCCAGAGAAGAATGACCATGTGAAGACACAGGAGATGGCCCTCTCTAAGCCAAGGAGAGAGGCTTCAGAAGAAACCAATGCTGCCGACACTTTGATCTCAGACTTCTTGACT